TTAGCATCATCATACTGTATACACAGAAACTTCATGGCAACCTGTCAAAATAAAAGTACGGTTTAACATGTAACATGTTACTTCTACTTCTATCTTTAAATATTTATTATTATTTAAATATATATTAAAAATAAATATTACAACCAGATTAATCACTTAATTGTAATTAATTGAAAAAAAATAATACAATTTTTAGCCTATTAAAAAATGTTTTAAAGGAATATTCACACAATTTTTCTTCCATGTATTAATTTCAATAGTAAACATCAGTTTGTTTGCCAAAAAATAAAACGGTTTAATTTTCATTTGATTTAAAATAAATAATTTAATGCCTTCATTTGATTTTCTGAAAAATTAAAACAAGAATTTCTGGGGAAAAAAAAAAAAAAAAGAAAGAAAGAAAAAGTTTGTAGGGCCCTATTGTTCAAAATGTTGAAATTGAGACTTTTGGACTTATTTTTTCACTGAAATAAATGTTTTTGTAATTACACAGAGTAAAGTACCGAAAAAAGGTACCGTTGGGTACCGGCACAGAAATCCAGGTACCGATACCGGTACCGTACCGGTTAAAATGTGAACGGTACCCAACCCTAATTGGTATATGAAGGATGGCGTTGGCTTAAAGAGGCATAAAGGGAGAATTTCATGGTGCCACCTGCAATTATATTCCATTTCAGCTCTGTCTTTATTGCTTTCCTTGATCTGAAGCACAAAATATCGGATATGTAGAAGGTTCTAGCCTTTGTGAACAAGGTCAATTGATTGACACACCATTATGAAGTATTACACTGACAACCAATCACAGTTAGCCATGATCAATGGTAATAATCACACTGAAAGATCAAACGCCTGCACAGTGCAACCTTGACAGCTGCACCCTAAATTTAGCTATTTTTGGCTCGTGGTCCATTATTCTCTAGCACTGAGTTAGTGTTTCTAGGGAAAGAAAGAAATTTGTTTTGTTTTTTTTAGACGTTCTAGACAGTTTACAGCTCTGTAGATGCCACACCAATCAACAAATCATCTCAGAGAAAGAATGCACAAAAAAAACAAAAAAGTGATAGTCCTCGCATGATAGTCTAGCTTGTGACAAGGTGGGGCGGGGGCGACCCAACGGTGCACAATCAGAGGTGCGTGTGATTCCCATAGTGCTACCAGATGACAGACTGGGAGAAGTCTGTTATACCAGGCCTTCAAATCACTGTTATGAGCTACTATTATGGAATATATGAACACTTTTCTGCAGCATTTTATTTTTATTTTATTTTTTTACTAACCACCATCTAGTTTTACCAGATCCTAAATGGGGGGTAAAAATTGACATAGTGCCTTAAATATTTAAATGAAGCAATTCTTTACAGCGCAAACATGCACCCTGTGTAAATTAGGATCATTACAGACTGAGGGCTCTAGACTGTGAAACAAATAAAAATGTGCAACAATAGTTTGATATCTAGTCACCATTGGCAACAGTTGGAAAATTTTTGTGTTTGTACTTTTTGTGCAGTTTTGGCACACAATGCTGTTCACGAACAAATTATTCTTATGAAGTGGTTCTTTTCACTGGGTGAGTCAAGAGACTTAAAAAAAATTAATTTTTGAGTGAATCAGACTGAATCATACTAACTTAGTGATTTGTTACTGAATTATGTGTTACTGAGTTAGCAAATGATATTGTATAATACATTATTAATTCTATAAAAAGAAAAGTTATCAAAATATTACTTAACATATCCACCCAAGAACTCCATTTGTAAGCAATTGTAGGGGAAACTATGAATGACATGTTGGAAACTCACCAGAAGCAAGTATTTAGAATTAAAAAAAAAAAAAAAAAAAAAAGAAAAGGATAGGATAGGAAAACAGCAATAACTGTTTGCAGCATTTTGTGTACACGTTTGCACCGTTACCTGATTTGCATAATTCCCTTAATGAATTGGGCGCAAAAACAACACAGACCATGTGTGCAAACAAAAACGGCGCTATCACCGGCCGCAATTCATTCCTAGAGCATTCCCCTTGAGTCTGAACTATGTTATTTCACAATCAACAAATGAAGTAGTGGGGATTTACAGCGGGGATGAACTGGACTCATTCTGATGTAGTGGCTAAAACCAGAGAGTAGCTTGTAGTCTATGAAATATGCAGGGAATTTGCTGCCGATTTAAAAGTCAGGCATTTAATATGCATAGCTTGGTTTTTTGCGGCAATTACAACACCGCATTAGTCAGTCGCAGATTCACACACATAGAACCCTGGTGTTAAAAATGTAACTTTTCAGGAAGTCGATTACTGTGATGGCAAATAAAAATTACAAGTCAAACTGGGCGATATTTTCTGTGACTCTTCTGCTTTCTTTCATTTTTCCTCTTCGTCAAAAGGTTTTGAAAGTGTTTAATGATAAGAGCACCTCCAGCGCCTGCAGTTAATAAAGCACACCCATGCATCGGGATATTAGTGATATATCCTGCAGAGCAGGAAGCCCCCTTTTCTAAACCTTCCTACAAACTCCATTTCTGATACTGGGAAAATGTATACATAAAACTTCCACATCAGGAGAAACCAATTACACCAGCCCAGAACCCATCCCTCTACACAACAAACTCTTTTATTGATCAGGCAATAATTACCACGGTCACATCATAAAGTACCTGGAACAGATTGGTCGTTCAGATTATTGATTCTCCCGGTCTCTCCTTCACTTCTCATTGTATGACTGCTGTACAGAGCTTGATGATATGGGCTCTACTCTGCACTGCTTTTGGGGTTGTGTCGGCATGCCTGTATGGGGTTTATTCATTTTATTTCTCCTTTTTTTAAGCTTGTGTCAAAGTGATTTTCAACAAGTATATTCCAAGTCATTCTTTTCTCCAAGTGCACTTTTGGCCTGTGCGCTGCATACTCGACCCCATTCCCTTTTGCTCCTGTCATGAACGCCAAAATGCATCTTTATTATTCTCTAAAAGCTAGTTATTTTTACTTTTCCTGCCCCTATTTTTGTCAGATTAATTTCCTCAGAGCAGAACTACTGTTTCTCGGTCTCTTGCTCTTAGTTTTTCGTTCTCTCCCTCTCTCTCTTGCTCTTTTCTCTTTCTAACGCTGACCTTTCCTCTTGCAATTGTGTAACTCCAGGGATGCCTGAGAATGCACCAGCTGTGTGGAATGCTTCATTACCCAGCTATCTGCAGGCCTGTAACCTCAACTCCTGCTGCCCACAGCAACTCTCACCACAGCAAACCCACCCTGACCCCACCAAACCCCGTGCAAACTCATTTGCCCTGCTCCAATTGAACCTGCCAATCTCAAATTTTTACAAGCATAAAGGGTCCTGTATGGCTGGGTGAGTTTTTAAATTCACCCCAAACTAAGGTGATGGCAGACGCATAATTGAGAATCAAAAACAAAATAATTTTGCTTCCACTGGAGATGTCGGGGTGAGCAGTTCAGAATAAGACTATAGGGAAATGACTATAAAATTAGTGTAACGTTAGAAAGTTTATTTAGAAGCATTTCCTGATGTTATGGGTCACACTAGATTGTATACAGTAATTTACTCTTAATGCTGCTGTTACGTAGAGTGCAAAGTGTTACATATACTTTTACTTTCATTGTGTAGATTCCAGGAAAAAATGAAATATATAAATTATGTATTTATATAGAAGTTTCATTGCAGGTTCTAAGGATATAAATGAATCTTTGTTGGGTCTCTGCAGGAGGGTATGATTGCTAATCAGAGCCTATATAGAAACGTGTTATTTCACAAGTACTTGAATACTGCACACGGACAAATCTCGCACAAACAGTGAGCAGGGACACAGTGTGACTGGCCATGCAGTAGTGTTTGTTAAAAAGCCTAAAGAAAGATTCAAGCTCCATCATGATCAGTTAGGATGAGTGATTCTACTGTTGGATGCAGAGTGTTAATTGAACACTGAGAAACAAACATCTTGCAATTAGCATTGTATTAATCTTCATGGATAAACATGCTAATTAAAGTGTTGAGTGTGGAAAACATCATGGGATGGAAAACTTCACACCCAAGCATGACACTACACCTCCCTCTTCCTCCATTTTCCTTATGGAGCGTATAATGTTACAAGAGAAGACGTATATGCAAGGCTCGAAATTGCGACCATTTAGGTCGCATATGCTCCCGAAATTTAATCTGTGCGACCTCAAAATATATTTGGGAGCATTTGTGCGAGTGCATATAATTGTTGTCATGCGACCTGTTTTCATTTCTCTAAAAACGTTCAGAGTATGTGCCTTCTGAGTGTTGATACAGTGACCTGTCTGCCATTCTATGAAACGTTAGGCTACATAACCAATTAAACTTCAGCTTTACATTCTTAACTTTAATGCAGATTTGAGATTGGTTAATATTAGCTGTCAATCACCCAGTCACTGCTTTCCGCTGTCAGGTGACAGGCTAACTACCGCGGGGAATGAAAAAGGCTGAAGAAGAGAGAGAGAAAAAGATGTCCTGCAGAGTTTAGCTCCAACCCTGAAAAAAAAACTCACTTGTCTGTAGCCTTATGCCCGGTTCAGACTACACTATTTTAGCCCGATTTTGCCACGATTTGCTTGACGTAGGGTGTCGTTGGGTTAAAGACGGCACGCGATGAATGGTCGGGAAGCAACGTGTAGTCTGACATGTTTCTTGTCCACGACACAAGATTTTAGGAGTCAAAATCGTGTAATCTGACACAGTGACTATCGTGACCGACAAAAATATTGTGTAGTCTGAACCCGGCATTAGTAATCCTGAAGACCTTGATTAGCTTGTACAGGTGTGTTTGATTAGGGTTAGAGTTAAACTCTGCAGGACAGCGGCACTCCGTCATTGCCTATCCCTGATATAGTTAATCAATATCACAAGAAGAGTGCTGTTTCCTCCAAAAATCAGCATGATTACAAATGTGATATTAATTTTATACAACTGTTCAATAAAAAAGAAGTTAATATTAAGAGACTTACGTTTTAGACACTATATTAACTCTTTTTGCTCCATTTCGCCAACAAAAATCATTCCAAGGACAGTCACAGCGCTGTTTTGCGTCTCTGAGCAACATGACGGCGTTTCGTTCCTGAATGAATCATTCGTCAAATGATTCGGTTCAATCGCAATGACTCACTTATTAACAGTGACTTGCTGCCACCTGCTGGCGGTTTTAATTTCACATTTAAAGTTTCAAATATAAGTATTCAACGTTTTATGTTTACAATATTAAAATATTATTTATGCATGTGTAACTGCAGGCTAAATGCATTCATGTCCTGCATGAATCAGTGTGTAAATGCATCTAAATGCCATTTCAGATGCAGCTTCTGTGTTTCCTCTGCATTGCAAAGATGAATTTTGTTGATTGATACTTTCATTTGCTTGATAACAGCCCAAATGTCTTATTATAATTGACTGATTAAATATAAGAATTTGACTCAAATGATAACGCACACTTTTAGAAAAAATGGCTTTAAGGTAAAAATGACCATAAAAGGTAAAAATCTATTTAAACTTATTGGAAAAGATTAATTTCTGTCACTGCTGTGAACTGACCACCACACAGAATATGAAGAATATAAAAAATGTTAGGAGTCAGCTGTCCACTGTAGTCCTTAAGATATCAGCACAGTAACACTCAGTCAAATTATTGTTATCGATAAAATCCCAGAAAATATAGAGATATAATTTTTTGTCAATATCGCACACCCCTAGCTGCCAGCCGTTCGGTGCAACTGGCAGAGCTGAATGTAAAATTTAACACCGCATACACCATCCTAACACTTGCCAAAGAAGAACTTAACTTTAGGTTATTTACAAAAGAAATCTGTCAGTGTTCTTTTCATTTTCTCTCTTCTTCAGCCCTTTCTTTTTCTCGCGGTAGTTAGCGGAAAGCAGTGACTGAGAGATTGACAGCTAATATTAACCAATACAAAATCTGCATTAAAGTTAAGAATGTAAGGATAAAATCTGTTAATATATAATTTGTAGTTGTGGTGCTCCTAAATTTTTGGTGAGTGCTCCTAAATTTTTGCTGGTGCTCCTAACTTTTTGAAGTTGGGAGCACCAGTGCTACCAAGTAAAAAAGTTAATTTCAAGCCCTGT